CTCTCCGTTCTCTGTCAGTATTCTCACTCCATTTGGTGCTCGGCTGAGTTCTTTATCTCTTCATTTGATGTTCTAGGGTTTCAGGATTGTTGCATTCTCTGTTTGGCTTAGTTTTTCAGATCTTTGCTGTGGAGGGACGGCGTGGTGCTTCTGCCTAGAGCGCCATCTTGCCGGAACTCCCCCCAGTGCTCAATTTTATACTTGCTCATGTTTACTAATGAACATGTCTAGTATGCAGTAAGAAGTAGTGGTCAAAAGCAAGGGTTTTGGGATACAGAAAAGGCTGTGTTTAAATCCTGGTTCTGCAGCTTGTTAGCTGTGTGACCTTGAGCAAGCTATTTACCATCTTGAAGTCTCAAATTTCTCCTTGGTAAAATGGGGGAGATAATTGTAGTATTATTGTAAAATATGTAGAACACTGTTATGGATTAAATTGTGTCACCCCAAAAAAAAAAATATGTTAAAGTCTTAACCTCTGATACTTGTGAACATGGTCTTGTTTGGGAATAGGGTCTTTGAAGATGTTATCAGTTAAGTTAGCACGAGGTCATACTGGAATAGGGTGGATCCTAATGCAACCTGTGTGGTGTCCTAGAAAAAAGAAGAGACATAGAGAGACAGACACAGGGAGGATGGCCATGTGAAGACAGAGGCAGAGATGGAGTTATGCTGCAGTTGCCAGCCAAGGAATGCCTGGGGCTACCAACAAGAAAGGATCTTCCCCTATTGCCTTCAGAGAGAACATGGCTCTGTCGACACCCTGAATTCGCCTTCTGTTTTCTCTGCTTTGAGCCACTGAGATTGAACTGTTTGTGGGAGACACTATGCATCAGCCACTTCCCAGCACATGCCTACGCCCAAAGGTGGATTGCTAAAAGGGTCATTTTGGATGTTTGGAAAATGTATTGACCCTTTCACTTGGCAATGTGGAATCTGTTGCTGAATCGTGCTCTTTCTCAAAAGGTTTCTTCCCATTCCTAAAGCCTTGAGCTTGCTGGTCCACCCCCCCAATCTAGAATGCTGCTCAGCCCTCCTCTCAATCCCTTGTCCCTCCCTCTTTAAAACATCTGAGTTGGAGCTCACTCCTGACCATCTCCTCCTACTCATGACAAAACAGTGTTGTTCATGCTAACTGGTGGCTAACAGCCAGCAATAAATCTATGATTTTCTTAAAGACCAAAGACCCACATTCAGTTTAGGAAATTTCCCTTTGAAAGACAAGTCAGTTTGTTCTCTCAGCTTGCCAAGTGTGTGTTTCTTGGCATTTGTTGTTTGCTTACTTACTTCTTCACTTGGGCCTTATTTCATAACTCTCTCTGGTCCCCTGGCCAGTCTGTTAGTTTCTCTTAAGGGCAGGGATTAGTTAACTCTGTGCCTTTGTAATCATAGTCCCTGGGTGATTATTTGGAGACTGCATTTTGGCAATCTGCATTAAGAGCTTTAGAAATAAGTGGTCTAGAAATTCCATTTTTAGCAATCAAGTCTAAAGAAATAATCACAAATAAGTGAATTCAAGAAAAACATTGGAAACATCTTAAAAATCCTATAGTAAAGACACGATTAAAAATTATGCCTATATTCATCTGTGTAACTTTTAAAAAACAATGTTTTATAAGAATTTTTAATGAAATTTTCTTTAAGATTAGGTGAAAGACCGGATAAACACGACGATCACAATTTTGTAAATTATATAAATATGCATGTAGAAAAATAAACTGAAATAAAATATATCAAAAGATTAGGTGTGTTGATTGTGAAATTGTGTGATTCTGAGTGATTTTAACAGTTTTCTTTCACTTCTTTATATTCTCCACATTTCTTTTACAATACTTATACTAAATGTATAATTTATGAAAGTAATACAACTTACAATATAATAATAATATATATTATTATATATATATAATAATTTATTGTATACATTATAATTGATAATTTCAAAAAACCTGTTTGTCATGTCATCTTAGCTAATCATAAAGTCCTGAAGAGCAGGGACTGTATGTTTGGTTTTGTAGATAGCCCCTCTTCTAGGGGCCTCTGATTAATAAGCACCCCAATGATGTTGCTAACAATCGATGCTGTCTTTCTGCTAACATGTTCTTTCATTCTAAGCGCTGCCTTTGAAAAAAGTTTTTCTTCTCATCAGGCCTAGAGTGCTCTGACCCTACCCTTATCTCGTTTGATTTGACCTGTGCTTGGCTGTTCCTTAGCAGTTTGCCTCCCTGCAGGCCCTCCGAGCAGACCACCTACAACCAGGTAACTGGTACGTACAGGTGAGGCCCGAGGTGATCAGGCCTCCTGTGGTTTTCATTAGCATTTCTCTCTTAATGACCGGAGACAATGGCAGAAACCGGTCCCCTTCCCAAGCTGTCTGTGGAGGCCTTACAGAACAGCGGCTGGGCGAGCCGGAGCACGAAAGAAGCGAAGCGGCCTGGGTGGGTCGGTGCGGGCATGGCTGAAGCCCTACTGCGCTTCCTTTCCCGCCCCGCCAGATCGCAGAGATGAGAGCGCCCCTGCCGAGCGGCATCTTCGGGGTGCGTTCTCCGGAGAGCCAGGCGCCGCGCGGGGCGGGGCCTCTGGTGGGCGGGGCGCGGTACGGGGCCTCCAGTGGGCGGGGCGCGGGCGGGG